TCATTTCTGTCTTCCCCTTTTCTTCCTGCGCTCTCTCTCCTCCTTCAAAGTATTACCATTCTTCTCAGGAAGAGAAAAATGTAAGATGACAGGTATAACTCTGGTAGGGTTATTCAAATTCAGTATTGACAAACAGTACAACAAAGTGAATCTACATGCTAAAAATACCTTGGAGAACACAGGATACAGAGAGCACATGGAGGAGCTATCACCTAACACTGGTCTTATACTCTTCCCCAGGCATCAGCTACTGCAGCTGTCAGCAAGAGGACGGCACGAGGTGGGCTTCAGTGTGGCAGTACCACTGGTCCTGTGTCTGCTCAAACACAAGGTGGTGAGGATCAGACTTGTTTGTTCTCTTCCAAATGAAAGAGAAATTATAGTCCAGTTCTGTTAAAAAAAAAAAAAACAAACAAAAAAGGAGCTCTGTGTGAGCTTTGAAGTTCTGCCATCAGCAGTAAAACAAGAGCTGGCTCAAGCTCTTAGTTTTAAGTAGAAATACCTGATCTATTCATAAAACTGTTCACCACAGACATGGTGTAATTTGTGTTGATATTTACTGGAAACTATAACAACATACTCTTTTTGGCAAGTAATTTAGGTAATTTAATTGTTTCAAATCTGGATAGGTCCTGTAACTTCGTATAAGACTGTATTATCTATCAAGTCATCACATTCTTTGTGAGAATAGGCAGCAAGTAAAGGGCCATTTTCTAGGCAGCAGTAAGTCTGCTGCAGCACTATCTATCTGTGCTAATTGTTTTTCTCAGTTTGACCCTATTTATTTGCCCCATGTCCCCTCATTTTTAATGTTTTACAAGGCAAGCAACCAGTCAAAATATGAGTTTCTTTCAGTTACAGTGACTGACTCCAAAAGCAATTGCTTTTGTTTGTTTCCTCTCTTGATTTCTTCTTCGATTTCCTTTAGCAAGTGGCTCACACATTCAGTGATTATGGCCGGGTAATACAACCTTTATTTTATTGAAATAGCATTTACAGTTGGCTCTTACACTTTAGTATTACAAAAACTTAGGTTGCTGCTCTAGAGAGGAGAATCGTAATGGGGGATAAACCAAATTGGATTTCAAGATCCAAGATTTTCTTTTATCTGTAGAATCAGAAAATACTGATCCTTTTGCACAACAGTACTTTTAAAGAGGACATTTGTGAATACCTTTTTCTGAACAAAATTCACTGTTTATGTAAGTTATTCAACCTTTTGTCACACAACAGTTGCATTCTGTTATCCCTCTTCTTTACAGCTTCCTGTAAACGCTGTGTAAATTGATTCTTGTTCTGCAAGTAAGCAAGGAAAATAGTAAACAGGAGGAGGTGGTTACAAAGATTATAATTCTCATTAGTAAATTATTTTATATCTTTTCCTCATGGCATGAATTGATCCAGACTGTTGTATAGCAGAATCCTTAACACATACCAGATTGTTTAGAGAGCATGTTTTACTTTCCAGAGTCAAATACAAACTAGTGCTTTTCCCCGAACTGTGCAAGCAAAGTATTTATTATTTTAATGCAACTTTTTCTTCATATTTTTACAAACCACTTTACCCCCGATGTGCTCAAGGCCAGGTTGGAAGGGGCTTTGAGCAAGCTGGTCTAGCGGAAGGCGTCCCTGCGCATGGAAGGAGCCGGGAGCCAGATGATCTTTAAATGTCCCTTCTAACACAACCCGCTCTGTGATCCTACGATACTGCTTAGGAGTGCCATTGGAGTGCCATTCCCAGCTAGCAGAGCTGAATTAGCTAAAACAGCGCTTCCCAGACGCGGCTGTAAGCCGTAATTCCCAGCTCATCGGGGACGACCCGCGCGGCGACGCCGGCTCCTAGAGCGCGAAGAGCGGAGGAGCCCTGCGCCGTTTTAAACACGCGACTCCGCCTGTTCTGCGCGGGGTCGGCAGGGGGCAGTGCCTCTCCACGCGCCCGAGCGCCGCCGGCCCGGCCCGGCCACGGCCCCGCAGTTCTGCCGCAGACACCGGCGTGGACCCCGCAAGTGGCTGACGGGCGGCTTCGGTGCGAGGGACGCGATGCGGATTTCCCAGGGGACAGTACAAACCGCAGCCGCCTGCTTGCTGCGCTCCCCTTACCCGGTGATGGAGTGGAGGGACTCCTGCCACCCAGGTACGTGAGGCGGGCTCGCACATACGGTGAGGTTCCCCGGGCTGCTGCAATACTCATCGCCAGTGCGTTACATACTTTATAACACAAAGGTGTTCCCTGAAAATCCAAATGAGACACTTCAGTGAACATTCATGGCTGGGTTGAGACTAGGAGCTTGTCCCTGCGTTGTTAACAGCAATACACAAGAAATGCCCAGTTTGGAAGCTCCCAGAAGGTCTAGACAATATTTTAGAATCATAAAATACCAGGTTGGAAGGGACCAAGGATCATCTGGGTCCAACATTTTGTGGCAAAGCATGCCCTAGACTAGATGTCGCAGCTGAAACTTCAAAGTATCCAGTACTGGGGCATCCACCACTTCCCTGAGGAGATCTTCACCCTCTTTTTGGATCTTTTTCCTGGTGGGGAAGGGTCTACAGGTACATTTGCAACTTTCACACATGTCCTGCTCAAAAAGATTATTCCATGTTTAAATATGATCATTGCCAAAACTATTTTGCTGTCACGTAGTTGAGGATGGGTCCTCTGATCTGTTGTGTTCAGACTGTCAGTTAACAGGACTGTTGGGAGAAGTGTCCAGAGACAGGGTGAACAAGCCAGGGAGGTGGTGAAAATCTCAGTTTTCTAATGCACTCTGGAGAGACAATGCTATAGAATAGAGATCCTACGTCTTCAAGGAAACTTCCAGAATTAATGTCAAGGCTTTGAACACTCAGCTTTGGCCTTGCTGTTTATCCTTGAACGACAAAATCTCAAGAAAACCGAAGAGTGAACCTCTGTGCAAAGCACCCAGCTCAAGCCCCTAGTTCTGACTGTAGGAATGCATTGTCGAGTCAATGAATTAGTTCTGAAAGAGGAAAAAAAAACCCTTTTTCCTTTCTTAATTTACATTTTTTAAAACATGTTTGTTTGTTTTGCTGCTCCTCTCCCCACGCCTTGTAAATTGTGAATTTCTCTTTTGGCTACACATGATAAGGAAATTGGTTTCATTTTAAGAGTGTGTTAATCATCCTGTAGCTTAAAAATATCAAAGCTTGAATGCCTTAGTTTCTGAAGGGGTTGATCTTAAAACAATTCCAATGATCTGCTCTTTAATTTGTAAACTAAACTGTGGGTTTAAAGTGGTGTTTGCTGTGATCTCACCGTAAAATGAACAAGGTGAAAAATTAGTTTTGAGGAAGAAACTGGGTGGGGATTACATTAGATGGTTACTGGTTCAGAAGGCTGAAGATCTTGATACTGTGATTAAAGCCCCAAATCTGCTGCTGTTCAGCGTTAGGGCAAGTATACACAGAAAGGAGCATGTTGGTGACTGAGGCATGCTGATTTGCGGCAATGAAATGTTTTACTACTGCGCTGCCAGGGTTAAACGTGCATTGCACAAAGTTAGGACAAACCTGCACTCCGGGTGTTGGGACAGTAGCGAGGTTTGGCCACCGGAGGCATAGCCAGCGTGTGCTGCAAGGGGTATCTCCGTCTCGGCTGGGTTAGGGCATGGGGAAAAGCAGGAGATCGGCTCTGTCCTCTGTGTCCCGTCACCCCCCGCGCTCCGTGTCCCGGCTTGTGCTAACCCTTCTTGTCTCCTGGTTGCATTGATCCTCTGAGGGCGCGCGTCTGCTTGGGCAGGGCAGCTCCTGCATTAAGAGATCAGAGCTGGCTTTCTCCCAGCCTACGTGAATGGATTTGGTGTCAAGGGCAAGGAAAGGCAGCCACTGCTGCCTGCTGGTGAAAGTGTTACTGGCTCCAGGTGAGGCTCCTGCCTTTTGCTCCGTGTCCCCAGAAACCCACAACACACTCCCTCAGGCCCAAAGCATGGTGCCTGCCAGAGAGCTGTCCTTGCCCTGAAGCATCAGTGCAGTTTCCTTCATTTCCATCACTAGTTATTCTCTTCAGAACACATGTAGAACTCAAACCTTAACTTCCCATTTCAGGCAAGTTTATGAGTAAGCTTAAATTAGAATGTCATCTGATAAAGCAGTTCCCGCATCCACTGTCTTATGACAGCTGAGCACTGCTAGTTACAGTGGAGTCAAGAGAGCACATACAGTAAAGCATCATCTCTTTAATGAGTAAGGGATAATGTGTAGCTTTAGAGGGCAAAAGAGAAAGAAGAAATAATACTGGCTTTCAGACTCCCATTTCAAACTTAATTCTTACGGAGAGTCTGCCCCTTTAGGAGCAGCCAAAGTTTAATCAGTAACACAACAGCGATTTAGCTCAATTCTCAGTATCTTAGTCATACAGAGAAGCTGCTGCAACTGATTAGAAACCCTATTTCATTGAAATATTGCATGGAAGCATGAACACTCCAGTCTGGAAATGCAAGTCACTTCATCACTCTAGATTGCATGTTAACGCATCACCAACTCTCCCATTCAAAGCCTTTTTAGAGAAATGTAATAGTTGGGGGACTAACAACCACCCACAACCCTTAATTCCCAGTGATTATTCTAAACACAAATTAACAGATCTGGGCCATTACTACTGAGAGCTGAATCATCCATAGGGGTGGGAGAGAAGCAGTAGTCCCAGGCAAATGTCTCAGGATTAACTGCTTTTGTGTGTTTCTGAACACTTTGTCAATAGCATCCCCTGTGTAATAAATTCCTTTTCTAGTTCCTTTCACCCTGTTTACAGGCAGCTCACTTAGAAGTTTGGAATGTACACTCAAATGACTTTCCAAGTTACAAGGATTATTATTCAGTTCAAGTAATTTTATTCTTTATATTCTCTACAAATCTGAATTTTTACTCAGTAAAGTCGTAACAGAATGTATGAGTATATAAAAAAAATAATCAAAACCACAACACAAATCAAATCAAAGCAAGCAAGCAGTTGGTCCCCAAAGAATAAAGCAAGCAATCAGTTCAATAAACACACTTGGATTTATTTTGTATAAAAAGGGTTAAGTTTACAACTAAACTTTTATAAAAAGTTTAGCATGATTAAGTACATCATTACACTTTTTGCAGAAATGTGTATTTCTGCCACTATACAAGAAAACTCTAATTAAAGAGTTCACAAGGTTTCACTCATATATATATATTTATATATAAATATATACACAGCATTCAGCCCTAGGTTGTGTCAAAAAGGTAATTTCTGACCACGGACTTCCCTAAAAAACTGAACACTGGATCCTTCTGGTACTCACGCTCCACCTTTGGAAAAAAAAGGCAAAGTCTGCTTTAAAATGGGCAACTCCTTGTGAGATTTTTGTTTCGCTCCCCACGTTGGGAATAGTATATAAAGGAAGCCTTCCAACTAGGGAAAGGGTATTTAAGAGTCTCTTCATAAATAACTAGGTTCAGTCCAAGTTGAAGAATGGGGTGGGGATAAAGATCAATCTTGATTATTTTTTTTTCTTCTTCATTAACTTTAAAAGGTCCTTTTTTGTTGAACGTGGATTTTCCCCTCCAGATACAGCTGAAAAATTCAGCACCTCAAAAAAAATCCTGTAGACATTTTCTTGTGCAAAAAAAAAAAAATATCATCAGTGGAACACCTGCAAGAGATTGAAAAGAGGCATATTTAGGAGCATGCTAACAGGGCAGAGATCCGGACAGACTGGCGCCAGAGAGGAAGCCGCAGTTTGAACATTTAACCAAACACTCAGAGATTGGGCAAACGCTGGCGTCCAGATGCAACACATACACACTCACACACTCGCTCTCAAGAGCTCAAGTTGAACATTAAAATAACATACACTCGAGGGGAAAAGGGTAGAAAGAGGATTCTCAGCCCAATCTTTATTTAGATCTCTGTAACTGCAATGCTCGGAGGCGCCAGTCTGCCTCTTACAGCAATTATTTGATTAAAAGCAGTCACTCATTTAACTGATAGCGCAGACAATCCCACATCACAGAATTTTGAGGAAATGTGCCAAGATTCCCAACTTAATCAGTCACTTTGGCCCAGAAAACCAAGACTCCCAAGAAACGATAACGAGAGTATTTGCATTAAGCAGTGAGCAGTATCCGAGCAGCCCGTGCTGCCTCAACCTTGGCAACGAAATACACTTCGGAATACGAGGCTCAGTTTTTCGGCTTATTTTTTACCGATTATAACGGCATCTCCTAATCAACTTTTAGAACTGATTTCTGGAAGTAACCATCACGCCCCCCCGCTCCCCAGGGAGGCACCTTTTGCCTGAAGTTTAGAAACGAGATGCGCTGCACTCACCGTTTGATTCAGCCACAAAGTGCTTTGCTGTCGCTCGACATGAGCTCTGAGGGGAACTCAGACGCCTACAAGAAGAAAACGGCAGAGGGGTAAGTCACGGGGGGCGAGGTGCCCGCGCACAAGGGGAAGAGGCAGAGCAGGGTCCCGGAGCATGAAGGGTTTCACTCGCGGCAAGCTAGGCTGGGGACCCAGGGGAGGGCAGAGGGGACCGCCATGTCACTGCGCTGGCCCGCAGCGACCCGCACCTGGTGCCGCGAGCGCCAACCAGCTCCAACCTCGGGCAGCGGGAGCCGGGGGCTCGGTGGAGATCACTTACCTGGAGCGAGAGGATGCTGATATCTGTGTTTAGGGTGGTCAGAGGAGTTCTGGAGGAAGGGTTTTGCCCAGGTCTCTGGTGGTGCAGGCTGACGATGCTGGGGTGCGAGTCCAGGGCGATCTGCAGGTCCAGGATGTAGTCGATAACATGCTGCAGGATTTCCATCTTGCTCACTTTCTTGTTCTGCGGGATGCTGGGCACCAGCTCCTTCAGCTTGGAGTAGCAGTCATTCATGTTATACAGTAGGCTCATGGGGTCATCCACGGGAGTCTTGCTCCGTGAGATGCCCAGGTTGTGCTCCGAGAGGCCGTTTTTCCTGACGGACCGCACCGGGCTGAAGGCTTTCATGCTGGAAGGCGGGCGGGGAGAGAGCAGAGCAGTTCAGTTCCGGCGGGCGGAGAAAACGGCTCCGGTGGGCAGCTGACGGAGACAGTCGATCGATCGGACAGACAGCCCTGCGAGCAGCCTCGGGGGAGCTGTCACCGCTGTTCGCCCCTGCGCGCTGCCGGAGCTCGCTCTGAGGCGCGGGACTGCGCGGCCTCCTCTTATACGGCCGCCGCCGCCGAGCCCAGCCCGCGCTCGCTGCCATTGGCGGCCGGCGGCACGTCCATCACCCCGGGGCGCCCTCACTGGTGGGGCGGGCAGCGCGGGGGCTGCGCGGGCCTTCCGCCTGGAGAGCCAATCCCGGCAGGAGGCGTGGCCGGCCCGCACAGCTGAGGGAGTAAATAGTGAGCGGTCCGCTGGCGCGCGGCCCGGTGCGGAGCACCCGGGTCCCTGAGTCCGTCGCTGCTCTCTCCGCCTCCTAAGGGCACAGCGGGCAGGCCTGGGGTGAGGGTGGGGGACACCCGGTACCGCCGGAGCAAGAGGGTGGCGGGGCCCGCTGCGGGTTACACCGTGGAGCGGAGTTTGTGCGTACTTGTCACAAATACGGCAGCGTCAGTGAGCGGCTGCAGGTGCGAGCATCGCGAGTAGAGCCATACTGCTCCGAGTGCAGCCCTGGCCGCGGAGAGTGCGGGCACCGGGAGACTGGGCAGAGCCGTCACCGCTGCTGGTCCGTCCCCGTCCCCCCCCCCCCCCCCCCGAGAGGGTGGGCGCAGTTAATTGATGCTCATTAAGTACATGTGCACTTGGGGGTGCATTTACAGGCATCGCCCTTACGAGGCAACTCGTCCACACCCCGTAGGTGCGGTGACACGGCGCTGTCACTAGAGATGCGACGGTTGTTTCTGGTGAGAAATGCAGATACTCGCTTACTACGCGCTGTACTTTTTGCGGCTCTTGGTTGCAGCCAATGAAACATCTTCCAGAAACATTCCAGAGGAAAAAGTCGGGGAGGGGAGAGGAGGGAGATGTGTGTGTGTGTGCTTAGCTGGAGAAAAAACTTCGATTATTTTTATTTTTTGAGTTTAGACCCATTATTTATATTCACTTAACTAATGCCTGTGTAACGTAACGACACACCTTCCGTTCCCCTTCTCACACACTGTCCACACAGTGTGGACATACATATATGATTAATACAAATTAAATTCTACGCAAAACGCAGCAGTTCTGTAGTAGCTACCCGGATGTTTAAGGGACATTGGTTTTCACTGTAAGCAAGCATGTAGTGACAGCACACATCCACGCTGTCCGTCGGGAGAGTGTTGTCAATCATAACTGCTCAGGGGAGAGAGGCGCGGGGCTGATGCACGCTGTGCTGGGGAAGCGGTAGGACACACGCTCCCGATACTTGGGGACACAGCTGCGGGCAGATAGGTCGGTGGCTTTGCCCATTTCCGCTGCGTTCCCGGGCTGCCTGATCGCCCGCGGGACGTCGTGGCCACTGTCACACCGGGGTGCTCGCCCCGGGGCCGGGCGGCGAGCGTCGGAATTCCCGCGTCCTGAAGCGCCGGAGCCAAGTCCCGACATCCAGCGTGCGGGACGGCAAATACAATGCCCAGGTGCGCTTAAAGAGAGTAAATAATAATGATAAAACCAGTCCCGCCAGTTAACGACTCGGTTAAAGTCACCACTTGGAGCGACTTCGGTCCTTTCTACCACTGAAATCTCCATGTCTATCGTATGCGATACTTGCTCTGCGGCCACAAATTTTAGCCCTTTGCCGTGTTTGTGTTTCCGTATGCTGAATGCACCCCTGGACGAAATTTTGACACTATTTTTGGTGTAATAATAGCCAACATAAACAGGTATGTTACTGCTTCTGCGGTTACTGTCTGTCGCTCGGACAGCGCGGCCGGCTCCCCACAGGAGCGCTTCGCAAACCCGGTTTTCCGTATTACAGGCTTCGCACGCTGATTAAGCCACCGCGAAGTCAGGCGAGAGGAGGCAAACCTGTGGGCACGCCGCTATGCGGGGGCTTCTCCCGACACCCCCCACCCCAGTGCGGTGCGGGCAGCTCGGGCAGCTGCGGCCGCGACCCGAGGGAACACTCCCTCACGTGAGAAGTCTGGCAGCGGCGGCAGCCCCGCTGCGGTGGGGGCTCCCCGAAACCAGCGGTGGTGCTCCCGCGGGTTCTTCCCCAGCGCGCAGCCCCCCGCGCGGCAGCGGGCACTCTGGAGAGCTGCGTCCGCCTGGACGCTCGGCGGGGATTTTTACAGCCGGTTCCTACCCCGCACCGCTGCTGCAAACATCTGGCCAGAAAACTCGCCGCTCGTCGTGCACAAAGCGCCGCTTTTTCTCCGCTCCCCCCTTAACCCCTCTTGAAAGCACAAACACGGGGCTCCCCTCCCGGGGCTGGGGGGATGCGGACAAGCTCCGCCGTGGGGGGCCCCCGGCGCCAGCCCGCGGCGGCGATGGGGTGCGCGGCCACCCCTGGGGCGACCCCCCCTCTCCGCCGCTCCCCCCACGCCCCGGGCAACGCGCCCCGCCCCGCCGCCCCGCGCCCGGGGCCGGCCCGGACTGCGCGGCGCCAGCCCCGTGACATCAGCCCTGCCGCCGCCCCCCCCGCCCGCGCCGCCCGGGCCCGGCGGCGCCGCTCAGGCGGCTGCCATGGCGACCGGGGCTGCGCCCGCGGCGGCAGCAGGCGGCGGCCCTGCCCCGCTTCCCGCTCCCGGGCGCACCTGCAGCGGGGGCCGCCGCCGGACACCTCGCCATGCCGGGGGGGGGGGGGGGGGGGGGGAATGTGAGCGGGGGCTCCCGCAGAATGGGGAGAGAACCGAGTAAAACGGGCAATATCGCGGGGTGGGGGTGGGGTGTCCGAGAGAGAGGGATCCCGGCGCCGACCGCGACCCGTGAGGGAAGCAGCACGCCGGGTTGCGGTGCCGGGGGGGGGGGGGACGGGGACGGGGACGGCTCAGTGTTGTGGATCCTGCTCCCCCGAAAAAAGAAAGAAAATACGTTTTCTGTGAGGAAATATCCCGCGTTTTGGGCAGGCTGTCCGATCTCTCGCTTCTTAATGCCGCCTCAGAGCAGCCTCGGGTCCCACAGCAGCCCCTGAGGCGGGGCGGAGGGGCTCCGGGGGGCTCCTGCTTCCCTCTGCACTCTGAGCCCCTGCTCTAACGAAACTTACCTAAACCATGTAACATTAATGTAAATGGGTTTAATTGCCGCGTATTTAAGCCATGAAGCCGGACTGAACAATCTGTTAAAACTTGGCCTGTTCCCAAGCCATTGACACCATCCAGCTTCCCCGCGCCATGGGGGGGGAATAGGGGGAAGGGGGTGTCCAAATACGTTTTGATACAGGAGTTTTCAATGTACCAGGTAAAACATCTCCCTGAACCCGGCTGCTTTTAACGAACCACCCGGTTCCTTTTGTTTGCTGCACGTTTGCAACTCATTCAAACAAGTTTTAGAAAGTTTGGGGTTTGAGCTGTTAACTTCCTTCGGAGCGGGAGACTAATGCATGCAAAATACTTAGTTACAATTTATGCGAAAGGCACCGATCTGTAAAAGCATTTTCTACTTTCACAAAGGATTTTCCTGTTACTTGTGTTCCGGTCAGAAAATTAAAAAAAAAAAAAAAAAGCGAAAGAAAAAAAAATACACACACCAAAAAAAAAAAAAAACTTGGGGGAGAGATAAGGTCTGGAAAACAATCTGGAATTGCCAGGCTGTTGGTGGGAGCTCTGCGGGGCTGGCGTCAGGAAGTCTGCGCCGCCTTCTATTACTGTTGATCCAGCTTTGTGCAGCTGCACTCAGTACAATTAGCTTGTAGAAACAATCCTGCTGTAGGCAGCCTCTTCCCTTCAAAGTGCTTTTCTATACTGATCCCCTCACATCATGATGCTGGAAATCAAGTCACAAGCCGACCACTGTTTGGCCAACATCATCTGTGGGAATTCATTAACCTCCATCCCAGAGATGCAACAAGAGATTGTTTGTCCAGAACTAAACTTACAGCTTAATATGATGTAGCCCATACAGGAAAAAACCTGTGTCCCCATTTCTTTTTTTCTTTTTCTTTTTTTTTTTTTTTTCCTGGTCAATAACAAGAAACACATTGTGCAGCTTTTTCTCTTCTTTTTTTCTTTTTTTTTTTTTTTCTTCAGGGGGTGGGGAACGGAGCTGAAACCAGGCATGAGCCGGCTCCTGCTAAAACTTTGCGATCGAACTGCTTTTTGGTTCATCGGGCTGCAGTTTCCATAGAATCAACTTATCCCTGCGATCATCTTGTTGGGTGCACTTTGCAAGCTCATTTCCCGTCTGAGTTTGCTCCGCTGCTCTCAGATGCTGCAGCTGACACATTTCCTCTCCGTGCACTTTGCACCCACCTCATCCTTGCCCAGATGCTCAGGGCTGATTGTGCCTAAAAGGGGGTTTCATCACACTCCGCAGCTGCCTTGGGGGAGGGCAATTTTTTATCTTGTTTTACATTTTATTTCCACTTTCCCCGCTCCAGTGTTCCTCTCCATGCCATGAAGCAGGCCCTCCTTGTCCCCATGCCCCCAGTGGAGGAGTGCTGGCTGGCTGGGATACAGCTGCGGCCACAAGCCCTCGGCAGTACGCCTTTGCATTCTGCCCATGGCTCACAGAGCCCCTGTGCTGGTCCGGGTGGAGTGGATCCACGGGTGGGACACCACTGCTGTGCACCACAGGCCGGGAAGCTGTGTGAGCAGCCCCAGAGCAGACGCAGGTGACATCTCCCTGCTGCAGGGGCTGCTTGTGAACAACCATGCTGCTGGGAGCATGAGTCCTGCTTCCTGACACCCCTGGCTGCTGGTGGCTGGGCTCTACACGTCCCACTGGCAGCACCGCTCGACAGTAGGGCTGGTGTCACTGCTCCTCACCTCAGGTACCTCATTTGGCTGCAAGCATGCAGCCAAGTGCACCTACCCCACTCTGAACCCCTCTGTTCTTCACAGAACACATGGATGTATTTTCTGACCCCTATTTCCAAAACCTGTCCTTTTCTGGGCCATGTTTGCAAATGCCACGGATCTGCCAACTGTAAGATTTTCTGTCCCCCCACTATGCTTTGGAATAATGTTGTTTTTTTACAGTATCATTCCTGTCACCCCCACATTTAGGCATCGCTCATCTGCTGCTGTTACATTCTAAAGCTGCATGTTGTTGGAGGCTTGGGAAGTATTGTGGCAAAACATGTATTTTCTCACTTTTTTTCCCACATCTGGTTTTTGTCAGAAGTGCTGGACTTCAGGATAGGCAGGCCTTTGTTCTGATTCAGTTTTGACATGTGTATCATTTTGTGATTACACTCCCGAACTACTGTTCTGCAGGAACGCCTTTTACTCAGACTGCATTTTCTAGCACCACCCTGCAAAGAGGGGTGTTTCTACCTGAATTGTGGGGTTTTGCTGGGACATTTCTATCAAGTCCAAGTTCAGACACTTCAGTTCTAATATTTTCTTGTCTTTTGTAGGATTTCTTGTTCCTGTAAGTAGGATCAGTGCCCTGAAGGCATTTCTGCATAAACTGCCATCTGCAAAGGGCTGTTTCTTGCCTGATGCTACTTGAAGAAAACTGCCATTAAATCTTTCTGGAAGCAGCATCTATCTCTCTGGCATAGTAAGTGTTCCTGGTGTGCGGTGTATTAAATCCATGTATTAACTCGTACACTTTTACTCTAAAGCAGAAACATTTATTTTTAAAGATCTTGAACTATTTTATTCATGCAAGGTCTGTGTTTTAATTAAGTTATGTAGCATGTCTTCTAGAAGTGAACCAGTTAGGTGGCTCTCTAACTTTATGTTATGGGATCAAACATGTTCACTTCTTAGTGCATAGCTTACAGAGCAGATGGTTTTCATCTACCGTAGCTTTTCTAGTGATACCTTTTAATTCGTATAGGTCTGAAATGTTGCAAATTTTGCAATCCCCAGCAATTTTTCTGGAAAATCTATTTAGAATAGAACAGGAAGAGAGACCAGGCAGGAAGTTACTGGTGGTACCTCTCATGCGATAAGGAATAAACCAAGGAATAAAAAATAGGCTGCTTCTTGTTTTTGTTGGTTATCCGGATGGTTGGGCCAGCTCCCCTCAGCCTCTGACTTTGGCCTATCTTTGATTTTTAGGTACAGGACTGTAGGAATGAGATCACAAAATGCTTGGCTTAATTTCCCTGGAAAAAGGAGGGATGGGGAATTGGATTGGTGGGAGAAGGTTTTGAAAATCTGTTCCAGGTACGGTTTTAACCCCCCCCCCCCCCTTCAAATTGTAAAATTATTATAATTTTTAGTATAGATGTGTTTGTATAGTGTGCTCTGTATTCAAGCTCAGTAATAATATTTCATGAACATAGAGAAGAAATGGAGTCTGTAGTGAGACTGTCTTCTGATTGTTGGTGAATCTGTAATCTTGGCTTCCTCTTCACTTCAGGTAGATTCCTCTCTGTTTGTGTTGGAAAGCCTTGTAGGAGGCAGTGCTGATTTACTGCTTTACCAAAGCTTTTGTTATTGGTTATGTTAGGACAGGACCCACAGCATTTTTAATCCTTTTTCACTAATATATAGAGGCAAAATTTTCTGTAGTCAGGAGAGCATAATTGCACTCAGGATTTGGATACTGGAAGTGCAGTTTAGCAAACTATGCACCACATCTTAAATAGATGTGCACCCTCTCGAGTCCTGCTGAACCACGTGAGTTCCAGTGAAGTTTCCTAGGCTGTTAAAACTTCGCTTTGTTATAGGCCCAGAATGAGTGTTGTCTAGGTTAAGCTGACTTGGTGACTGTCGCCTGCACAAACCCACCTGGGAATCACAAAACAGGTATGTGTGTGAATCTCTTGAGAGACTTGGTCCAGGAGGTATGCTCAGATCATGCTTAAATGCACATTGACAGCATGGAGCTTAGCACAAAGAGCAGCAGCTGTAGCTGTCGGGAAGTTCAGGGGGAGAGAAAGAAAAGAACTGCTGCTCTTTTATAAGCAATTTTTCTCATGAGAGCATTGCCCTGGAAGTGCTCAGATTCAGTGTTCTCATCAGAGGTGATATAAACTCCTTTCTGCTTGCAAAGCACCCCTCATGACCAGAGTAGAGATAAGGCTAAGGTGGAGGACACCCACCCATCCTGTTCAAGCTTGCCATGGTAAAGAAACAGATGCAAATTTCAAAGGCCAGAGGGATTATAAACAAGAGGGAGCCTGACATTATAGCTCAGGGGTAAAGGCATCTCCTGAATGGCAAGAAGGTTGAATGCTGGGCCTGGCCTGGAAGACTCACCCATTCTTGAGGGTGAGGTTTATCTCAGCTATTTGGAGGTTTGTTGTCTCTCTGCAGTCAGTGGGAAGAGAGAGACACCTGCAAAGAATGATTCATTCTGCGCCTGTTCAACACCTTTTCTTGGATGGAATGAATCTCCTCACCTGGGGCCAGTGTTCTCAGCAGAAGCTAGACAACTGACTTTGACCAGAAGCCTGACTTATAGGTGCCAAGTGAGGTGAATTAATTCCACTGTAGACGATTAATTTTTCTCATTCATCATACCCCAGTTTTAGCCTTTAAAAAATTGGTGTGTAATCAAAGTTGATTAGTTGAGTTCTGTCTCTGTACAATGGTCATTCCTCCCATTGGGAGGCTGGAGATGGATAGGTTGGGTGAAATGCCTTGGGATGATGTGTCTCTGAGGCCTGTAGAGCCTAAAGGTCATGTGTGCCCCTAGTTCACACTCATGAATGTTCACACTCATGAGTTCACACTCATGAGTGCTGGATGCCTGAAAGTTCAGTGTGGAACTATTACATGTCGTCATGCAAACTTCTTTTGCAGATGGTCTAAGTGACTACAGAGGCACTGCATACTATTTATAAGAGAGGAACCAGTTGCATAAAAATCTGCATAAAAAGTGTCGGAAGGCATAAAAAGGCTACAACCAGAAACTTCAGAAAGCTGAAAGGCTGCTTATTTAAATCAAAGAAAGTTAAGTACTATGGAAAATATTACTAAGTTTATATTTCATTTTATGCACTTGCATACCCGGAAAAATCTGTCTCTAACTTCTAAAACTGGGGGCTAGATGCCTTTAAAAGTGTTACCTTTAATCCTAGCCCTGAAGAGATAAGCATGTAATTTTCAGTTTCAAAAAGCTATAGTTTTTCAGTTTTGATGATGTGGAGTAATGCTGAGGTATACTACAGGATAAATCCCAAATCCATACCTCATTGTTTCAACAGAGATCAGCAAAAGGTCACCCAGGCTTCTTATCAAATTGCAGGAGTGCAAGTGGGTTTTTGTGATAGTTGAAGTTCAGTGCACATATATTCTTTGCAAATGGATGATTGTAGGAAGACAAGCTATGTGTTTTTATGATTTAATATTTGTCAAAGGTCATCAAAGGGTTATGTACAGTCATTTTGCAAAATATAGCTTGTAGAGGCAGTGGTGGACAATGAGAGTCCAGTTTGTTGGAATTAAAGTCGTATGTTCTCCTGATGGGTTTTTAGCTACAAATACAGTTGGAGATAATTCCACCACATTGTTCATGTCAATTGCTCCGTAAGGCTGAATGCCTTCAACTATTACAAAACATATGCTTGAGAAATCCTTCTACTTCTTTTGTCAAAATACTGAAACTATATGTGCACCCAAGATGTTTAAATTTGGCAACATGAAAGTAATTGGGAATGGACTCAAAATTAAATTACTTAAGGCCTCAAGCTATTGTTTCCAGCAGAGACAAGAGGTCTGAAAACATTAAAAGGATGTGCAGACTTCTTAGAATGTTTTGGGCCAGAACAAAACAGCTGGTTTATACCTAGCTGAGGATCTCAGTTGTTCTCTGTTGAACAGTCAGAATTTGGACTTCTTGCCGTTTCTTGAATTCCTGTCTTCTCACTCTGCTTTGTTTTCACTTCAGTAGCAATAGTTTCGTGCTCCTTACTCTCTTTCACAGCTCTACAGGTCTCTTGGCGCTGGAGATGGGATTCACCTCACTTGACTTAAGGCATGTGTCTGGTTGATGTCTATACATCTAAGCCTGTCTTCCAAGACATAGTTTACAGGCAATTGGGAAAATCGTTGCTTCTGTAGTGACTTACTTCTTAATAATACAGAAGTCTAAAAGAACCTAGATCTACCCCAGTACTCTCTTGACTTTGGAGTCCAGCTGTCCTTAGCCCAGCTGGCATATGGTTTAACTGGACACCCTGGTTTTGATGTGGTCTCAAACTTCCCCAACGATTCTCCAGTTTTATTTTTTTTGTGTGTGTGACTTCACACATTTTAATTAAAAAACTTGAAAGCAACAAGAAAATGAGTGGTGACTGATACAGTTTCACCAAGAAGTTGTTCTGGCTGTGGTCTTGTGGAGTGCTGGGGATTTACAGGCCACAAAGTGTAATCTCTAGGCTAGATGGTCATAGCTGTAAGCTCTGTGCCTTTCTGCGACATAGTTCAGCCTGTTGTTAGTTATGGTAATCTTTGATTGCAGGACTGCTTATTTGTTTGTGGCATAGATGAGACTTACATAGAGAGGCTGTGTTCTGTGGAAGCCTTGCCTTAGTTACTGTAGAAGGTATGCAAAGGGTTGTGAAAGAGGCAAGGCACTCCCATAAACCAGCTGAAGGATTTAATTCAATCCATGCCTCTGCTACAAAGTTTTTTTGTGAGATGATGGACAAGTCATTTAAAGCAGACTTTTGTCAGAAGACTGTTTACCACATGGGAAGTCAATGGGAGTTGTTAAATGTCTAACATGTAATGGAAATGCCAAGCACTCTGAAGGAACGGGTCCCATTTATCACAAGCTTGGCAGCCAGAACTAGAGTTATTAACCAGTATATGTTCTGATCAGCTGTTTCACAAATGACCACTGGTTTAAAGTTAACAGCCTATGATTTATATTTTTTTCCTTGAAAAGGAAATATCTCTTTTGAGAGCAGCATAGACAGGGGGAAATGTCAGTAAATGTGGGAAATGATTCTGCGGTGGCAGAAGTTCATTGTAATAAGGGACATTCTGGTCTCCTTTCCAGAAAGCTTTTCAGAGGCCATAGATTGCTTTCAGGTACTGCTCTCCAGCTGGGAACGCGCCAGGGTAGTGCCGAGCCAGTAAGGTGGCTGTCAGGAACCAGATGGCACTGATGGAGAGGGACAGAAGGCAGATCATGATGGGTTGGTTTGAGCATGTTAGGGCTGGAGGACCATGGAAACCACCAGTCATAGCTATATGAGGACTTGGAGCTGGAACAAGGAAGTCTAAGAACTAAAGGGGAACAGGGGAGAGGGAGAATTAAAGTTTCAGATCTCTGTTCATTGCTTTATGTTTCTTTCATTTGAAATGACAAGTTAAAATAAGCCAAACCGTCCAGAAAGTGAGTGCTTCTGAAGAAGTTTCCCGTGTTTCTGCCTCCTGTTAGGACAACTTGTGAAGTAAACTGTACTGATTTTAGCCCCAGCTAGATAAATTTTGTAGCTTATGGGAGATACAGGTTCAAGACTGAGCCGGTGAGAGCCTTATAACCCTCACATAAGAGGCACTCCAGAAGTGGTCATTTGAGACATTCACCTGGTACAGTGGAAATTCTGAGTTACGGTCTGAACTGGGAAGAATGGAATATGAGATCTTGATTTTTGACAGGCCTTTTAAACATCAGACCACTTCTCTGAGTATTTTCTGAGAAAATATTCAGGAGAATACTTGAGATTTTCTTCTGAAGCATGCTAGTAAGACTGCTGAAATGGTGAAAAGTTTCACAAGATGGGAAAAATCATTCTTCCTGTATCTGTTTAGTATCGTTTGGGGTACAGGATGTTTTCAGTAGTATCCAGCATCACTTTAAAGACATATCTAATGTTAAAGTGCAGATGAATATTTTGGGGTATTTGGGTCTGTTTGCAGACACAAATTATTTAGTGCAGAGTAGGCATGCTGTGATTCGATGGTTTTGTTTTTTTTTTTTTATGTGAACTTCTACTTTGATTTCAATAGCGTTTGTATAGATTCCATCAAGGAAAAACAAATGTCATGGGAAAGCTTTAGGTGATTTTTCTGTTGTCTGGGTGTTTTTTGCTGTAATGCAGACGTTCCTTTTTTAAACCTGGTAAAGGCGTTGCCGTTTGGGGAGATGATACTCTCTGCTCTGTACTGAGAGCAGCAACACACCTTGCAGAATTGTTTTAGGGAGCAATCTGCAGTGTGCCAATTGCTCTCTTTTCTGCTATTTTGGTAGTGTTTTGTGGAGTTGAGTGCATGTGTATAAGCTGCAAATGTACATTCCTGTATAGAATAGAGCAGGCTGTCTGCGTGGATCAGCTGTTATGGGGGTGGCTGTGGGTTAGACATAAAACAGGCTGTGGAAACTCCTTTGATGGAGCCTCAGTAGTCTTAATGCTTTATGCACATGGGGCCCGATGCAAATTCAGTGAAACCCGGGAAGATTCTCCCTGTCGGTTCACAGCTTTTGGATCCAGCTTCAGGTGTGCTTCTGAATGTACATGGGGATGCAGCTGTTAGTTGGGTAGTATAGCAGTTGCCTGTGAGAGCAGAGAGGGAATTTGGTTTCACTGCTCTGGGTTGGCAAGTGAATTTTATCTAAAGCTTTCCACTTGCATGTAGCCAGCCTGCTCAGGTTCTAAATAGATTCTGCCCTCAGACTGTAAAGAACAAGATAATCACTTTATGTTATGTACTTGAGAGCTAAATTATTTTAAAAGTCTGAAATTAGCAGATGAGGAGGAATTTATTTGCCAAATACATTTAGAAGCAGCTTGGGAAACCTGTCAGAGACCAGCTTGAACTGCTTAACTAGTGGTTGTTCAACTTAATAGTTCTCAAGCATGCTTACACTATGAGGGAGACCAAAATAAAATCCCAGGATACATGGGTTTTTCTTCCAGACGGCAAAAAATGCCATCAGTTTACAAACCAGATAGCTAAAGAGGAAAACCTGCACCTAACCTCCATTACATTCTCCGTGCTTCAAGCAAAAAAGAACCTTGCTCTTTTTTTTGGACTTTCTTCACCCATTATTTCCAGTTCTGTTAACTTAGCACATTGCTGAACGTGACCTTTACTCTGCTAGCAGTGCCAGCCTTTACCATGTGTTCGTCCTTTTCCCACCCAGATATCTTCATGCTTTCCTGCATCCTATCGTCCATGCTTGGAACAAAGGTCTGGAAAATTCTCTGCAGCCGTTCTCCTTCAAATTACTCCTTAAGATGCACTTTGACCCTGATGCCTGTGGGGCATTGCTGATTATAGCTAGGCAGAGTGGAAGTTAAATTGTTTTCTAGGCAGCCTATATGAAAACATGCTCACATTATTTCTGCTGTGGTTTTGCTGTCAAGCCCTTTCCTGCTGGGGAGGACAAGGCCATAATGCCGGTTTAGTAATCACCAGCTGTCATTGGCAGCTGACGTAGATAAAGAGAAGCTCTCAGCTCTGCTGGTTGTTACCTTCCTTCTCCTTCCGTCACAGCTCTACCAGATTGCTTTTAGCCACCATGCTTCTTTCATTCTTCATGACTCTTGCACATCTGTGAATTTAGCTCCGTTGCCTCGCTAGGGGACTGATGCAGAGTCCACCCTTTCAGAATATGTTAGCGTATCTTGGCTTCAAGCATCAAAGGTCTGTTTTTTGGGGGGTGGCTTTCTTGCATATGGAGCTGCAGATCTTAACCCTTCAGGGTAGGAGGACTTCCTTTATAGTTGCTATTACTTGCCTAACTGCATATGGAAAGGGCAGGCATCCTAGCTAATCAGAGCTTCAGACAAGCAATTCTTCACATTGTTTTAGGGTTTTTAATTAAAACTGTAGGCTCCAGCATCATGTGGCAGAGAGCCAGTGTCAGGCATCTGACAATAGGCTTCACCATCTACCAACAATGAGGGAATTCCTCAGCTTATGCTCCAGAGGCTTCTGAAATGCTGTGAACGGGCAAGATTGCTGTTTGCAAAGCACCCTGCAACATTCAGCCTTGCAGGTCTGCTGATTTTTAAATTATATAAACAAAACCCTATAAGCCCCCCATAGCACAAAGATACTGACTTCTGTTTATACTGTCCAGATCACAGATGCTGAGCATGAACGCACGAACAGTCCTTTTGTATGGGGTTTGACACTTTCTGTGGCTGTCTGCACTGTTTTTTAATACACAGAATCCCTGATTCTCCACTGCCTTGCACCCTGTCTATTCATTCTCACCCCTGTGAAGTGAGGGTAAAACACTATCAAAACAAAATGGTACCATTTTGCATGTTTTCCACTCAGTTTGTACAGGTGTAAATAACTACAGAAAGAATGGGGCAGAGCAGAACCTGACCCACAGTCTGTCTCTCAGTGCGTCAGGGGTCCTGAAGTGGGGGGATGACAGAACAAACACAAGCTGTTACCTTGCCATTTTTGCTAATGTTTTAAAATCAGGCAGCTTGTGAGGATGACAGATGCAGAAGTCAGGCAGTTCTTAGTTCCTGTAGTCCTCACGTGATGTCTTCTTCTAGAGCAATAGGAGTGTTACCCATGGCATGGATAAGTGCTTAGGTTAGCTGGTATAAGAACAGAGTTACCAATACGAGTTGTCTTTCTGAGTTGTTTAGCTATTGCACTTAGTACTGGAGAAAGAAAAATCCATTGTTATTTCTGCTGTTTGTTACATTACCTTTGCTTTTATAAACCTTTTTAGTGGAGAGTGAGCTCTTCAAGCTGTGGTAAGCCTGCTGCTTTGTCTCTTGGGTGTTGGACATGAGCAGCACTCAGGTTTTTAGTTTATATGTTTGTTTTTTTTTATATTTGTTATTAAAGCAACAGAAGACTGTACTCATCTTGTTTTCCGTCATCCTCATACTGCCTGACACAACTCTGCAGGTAAGGACTGAAGCATTCTTCCAAAAATAGTAGCTCTTTCTCATCTTTCTCTTTGCACAAAGCCCAGCTCTCTGACACCTTCCTTGCTTTCCTGGACAGCACATTTGAGCATCTTAGCCCAAGTGCCTTTTTTTTTTACCAGAATTTAAGTTTATTTTTGACTTCTTGATAAGATATCACTATTATCCGTTTGCCAGATGTCTATCATAAATATATATCCTGTCCATTCCAGGCCTCAGCCTGCCCCAGCTTTCTTTTTGCTCATCTGATTTTGTTTTACTTCCAGAAATTCTGTCCGGTTACTCCTTCAGCTGATTCTGTTGCCCACTCTGAATGCTAGTTTTATGCTGCCTGTGTGCTTGCAATGAACAGGTTTATCACCTCAGTAGTTCCTGCAGGCAGGAAGTAAAGCTTCATGAGAAGGGCCTTGTCTTCTGCAGCGCCTTCTGTAGTCAGTGTGCTAGCACTGCTCTATGCCCTACTTCAGATAACCTTCAAGATGTTGCATAGTGCTGTTTTTAAGCATTGTTTCTAGGAGGGGGAATAACAAAGCAGATGATGTTGTGGCCACAAAACAGAGATATGATGCATTTCACCAGAAATAGATTGCACCAAAAAAATCTACCCTTCCTTAAAAAAATATAAATAAATCGAGCTCTGCATAGATAAATACTGGCAAAATCTGAATTTGGTGAAGTTACATGTGCTGTTGTAGTAGGTAGGAATAATGGACAGAAGTTAAAGTCTTTTGAAATCAGAACAGTAAATATTTTTGCATATCTTGAATTGAAAGCTCACCATTGCATTAACCTACCCACTCATTTTAGAAACTATGTGAATTTTCATGACTCATTTCAGTGCTGTGTAACTGTTTGTATGCAAACGTGACACAAACATTCTCACAGTAACACACTTTTACCCTCCCACTGGAGTTCATGCATTAACAGGAGTGATGGTGTTCCTTCTCCTTACAAACCTTACCTTTCCTAAATATAGTCTTGTGCCTTCCTTTTTCACGTTTATGGTAACATTTGAAGAAATACTTCTGCCTAGAATTTCAGAGTTGCTTTAAAATGGAAAGCCTCAAAAACAGAAATGAAAAAGCACTTCATATCAAAAAGCATTTCTGTTAAAATGACGTGTTCTCACATCTAAATGTGACAGGTTTGAAAGGGACCAACTTGCAGAAAAAAAATGGAAGTTCTGTGCTGGTAACAGGCATGAGAAGGTTCACCTGAAAGGTAATGGGTTCATCAATTCATGTAGAGACTTAAAATGAAACTGCCATCTCAACCATAGCTAGAACAAACACAGCTGATGAATAAATGTATATTGGCTAGAATAAATGCAAAGCATAATGCCAGATGTGGACAGTGTAGAGTGCAGAAAGGCAATAAACTGAGTAAACATCAAATGAAGGATTAGCCTTAATTGCGAGGAATCAGTTCCAATGAGAAACAGAACTGGGGATCTCTTTTGCCCAAAAGCAGTTGAGATACTTTTCTAGCTAGACAAGAAGCTGCCTGATCTGTCACTGCTTTCCCATTTGAGGCTTATCAGCAACAACCTGCTGCATATAACATACAGTTCAAAGGCTGCTTTTACTCCTGAATATCTCCAGCAGGGTTGTAGGCTTTACTGCCCAGAAAACTGGTTTACAAGTTTTTTCTGTTTTTCCAGAATGCACCTTTCTATTCTCCGTAAGCGTCCAGAAGACCTTCTGCAGCAGCATCCACTGCAGTGCAATCACACAGTGTCACTCTTTGTCAGTGGCAGGAATTATGTTATATTTCAGTCTCTCACGAAGTCCAGATGACTATAGTGAAGTCTTCCAGAGTTACTCGTTCAAAAGCAATGTTTTTGGAGTTCAGTTGAGACACTTCATACAGATGTGTTGACTCCCTGTGTTTGTGTGCTTCTGAAAATGTTTAGGCTTTCCAGACTCTTAGAAAGATTTCCGGTCATTTTTCTACTAAAGTAACCCTTGAAAATATAGAACAATTATAAAGGTTGAGTGTGCATTGGACATTCATCCCCCTCAAACCACCAAAACTATGGTGACTCTTCTGCTGTCTGAGGGTCTACTGTGTCCCATGAAACTTAAGAAAAATGTGTCTTAAAATCTCCTTACATATTTTTGTGGAGCATTTTTAATAAGTAAGCGTGGGATTCACCTCAGATTAAACTACCAGCGTTCAGAGGCTTGATCTAGTTGTAGGAGTCCAGCACTATTGGAAGTGCTCAGTTCTCCCATCTGGACTCCAGCTGCTGCTCCATATTGGTAAAGGAGTCACATACCTGGAGTGCCATCCTTGCCAGTCCTGCATGGATTTCTTGGGCACCTAATTGCACCTCAGGTGACACAAACAATAGTCAGTAGACATCAACATCTACTCGGTGCACTTGAGAGTTGTCTGCAGGGAATGTCTGCTTCTGGTGTTGCTGCTACCTGGTACAGGTACCCAGGCTCTGCTGTGGTTGTAGTTAACATGGCTAAATCAGCTAAATGCGAGTGAACTCGAGTATCTTCTTCTTGACACGCCTCTGACTGTTAGCTGTGTGATCAGTTGGAGTCCAACTGAGGTTTCTGAGGTGACATGAAACTAAGCAAGTTGCAAAAGAAGTAAACAAACTGTAAAGAAGAGAAAGTAGGGGCTTGGTGCCTGGTCCATCTGTGAGTTCCAGACTGAGGGATAACTTGCTGATGTGAAGATCACTGCAGGATCAGGTCTTATGAAGGAAGCACCCCATCTTCTCTTAATGACAGCATCGTTAATAGTGCAGGTATATAGATCTCTTAAATTAATAGTGCAACAGATTGTTCCTGCTACACAGAACGAGGAGTTCAATGTAACAGCCACAGCTAAAATACTTGCAAGTTTCTGAACTTCAAAGCAAACTTTGCTTCTTTCTAAAGAGTCTTACAAACAACTAAGCATATTTTCTTTCACCTCATCTTTAAAGAAATTACAAAAGAATATATACAGCAGGCCTGAAATTCCTGCCAGTCCTTCATCTTGGTTTTCTTGGCATATTGGAAAGGAATCTGGATGCTGAAATTTACTGTTAATGAGTACTTAATTTTATGGCTGTGTTCTTGTTCTGTGCACTCATGCTTGTCTGAACTACTGATGCTCTTATGGAGGGCCAAAAAAGATACCTAGAAGATAACTGCTGAAGTAACCAGTGCTATATTCTACTACTTTGATTTTTATTTGTTTTGTTTTTTGTTTTTTTTTTTAGTTTGGAAAGTATGGGTGGTGATTAATTGAGCTACATTTCTTTATTAAGTTATATATCTATTGATTTTAATGCTACAAATTATCTGCAGTCTTGATTTCAAGAGTTAGGCAATCATGGGAAAAATAGGTCTCCTATGGCTCGTGATGGATTAAATGTAGAGGCAGCAACTATTAGGGAGCTATTGGTCAGGTTAAACAAAAGCTGCAAGTAATAGTTGGATTGGAAACAGTGATGCCATGAGGTGTACCTAAACCCAGATGTCAAGTAGAAAGCAGGAATGTGAAGAAGTGGCAAGGACAGAAACTCAAGAGTGGAACAGATGAGGAGAAGCTGGAAAGACATGGCTAGAAATGAAAAACCAAACAAACTAAACCCCACCAGCAGTAGGCAGGAAGGATAAAAAGAAGTGACATAAAAAATAGAAATGCTGTATGCTTACTGCTAATTTACAGGAATCACTAAGTGACTGTTGTTGAAAGCTGGACTAAAAGCAAGGGAGGTGAAAAGTTGGAGGACTCTGTGAGGCAAGAGTAAAAGGACATGACTGTCCTTTGAAAGACAAAGGCGAAGATTTCTGCTGGTTTCATCAGAGCAGAATTGAACTCTGTGAGCCATGGAGAAAAAAAAAAATCAATGTTTTTATCTTCTTGTGGTCCTAATATTGCACATGTGATTCATATAATGTTTTACATTCCGTAAATTGAGTGTTTATACTTGGGAAGAATTGCATGTCTGAAGACCCTGCAGTGTCTTTCCTTATTCTGGTAACAGCAGCAGAGTCTCCTCCAGACTTTGTACTTTTGTACCTCAAATCCCAGCTACTTCTAGCTGGGGAAATGTTCCAGCCTGTGTGCCTGTTAGCTTGTGTCCTCTTCTGAGGGCCTAGCAAAGCTGGTTCTCATGTTGGATATTTTTTCCAGCTCATTAGTAAAACTGGATTTCACCAGTAAAACTGATCAACTTGCCATACCAAATCCCTGAGTAGATGAGGAGACACAGGGTGGGATGCACTGAGCAAGGCTTCTGCCTTCCTTTACAAACTCCTATGAGTCTGATTCCAATAAAAATTATGTTTTCATTTATTCTCATTCATTACAACTCTAATAAGTGTAATAGAGGAGCAAAATGGCTCTAACTCCTGGGAGAAGGGCAAGGGAATTTTTTTCCTGTCTCATGTAGTGCCCCTACATCAAGCAGCCCATACTTACGGCAGTGCAAGAAGGAGCTGGAATACAGGTTTCCACCTGCAAATATAGGTCTGGTTGACTGAGAAGACAGATTTGCCTCTTCATTTCTTCCTCAGCCTCTCATGATTAGAGCAGTGCTACATGTGAGCACAGCTGAGCAGCTCTGACCACGGAATAAACACGATGTTGAGGAGGTGCCAGCATCACGCTTCAAAACAGTTGTCTTTCCCTCCATCAGTTACCTTTGGCATACATCTCCAAGGGTTTATAGCTAGGTGGCTGACAGGCAGATGCTACATTGCAATCTCAGAATGTTAGGTGTAGTGATGTAAACAGATTGTGTGAGCTGTTCATGGAGGTGAATGTATATTGGGTTAAAAGAGTTTCAAGCACAATTGTATTGTGCTTCAGTAGTAGCCTATAGAAAGAAGCAAGCAGGGGTGATGCATAATATCTGGATAATAGATAAGCAATCCCTTTGCAAATATTGGGGAGGCAGTTACAACACAATGCTATACATCCACGCCCCAGGCTGCATTTAAACAGCTCTTCTGCCTGAGTCGAGAATAAAGAGGTCTAAAGTGCACTGACTAGTTAAAAAGCTCTTTCTAAGAAAGACTGAGACCAGTTGTCAGTAGGTGTCCCAGATGCAGGGAATGCCTAAGTTCTTTAGCATCTGTCCTCAGAGACTTGGAGCTAGTGCATGTTCCTCACTAGCACTGAGGATTTACCTTCACTGCCCCCTGCCCTCTGCTACTGCTGGTGTCTGTCAACATCTCAGCTCTTTGCTGTGCAGGAGAGCTTGGTTTTGACAAGTTGGGAACTCTGCTGCCTGGAGAGGAGGAGACATACGGCACTGTGGAGATGGCACATGTGAATTTTTCAGGATGCTGATAACATTTCCGCTTCGTAACTGCCTGGTGTCAAAGGGCATGCAGAAAACTTTGGTAGAAACCATCCATTTGGTTGGTGCACAAGGCTGCCATAGTAGCCTGCCACAGTAGGTTTTACTAACCAGGGCTTGAAACTCGACTGGGCTTTGCTCTCAGTTCCACATTTTTGTTGCAGCAGTTGTTTCGTCAAGGCCCAGTATCACTTCACAGGACAGGGTTCTGTCTCAATTCAGAGGGACCAGAGAAGTCCGTAGGTAGCTTGTATTTGTGTTTGCTCTGTCTGTCCTGCTTGAACAGTTAACATCATGTTCGGTGGTAGAAACTTTAACTTGAAAGCTAAAGTATGGACAAATGGAGTAGGCTCTGACAGCAGCTGTTTTTCATGGATAGGTAAAACATAGTCATTGTGGGAAGGGTATTCTTTTGCATAATCTACTATAGAAGTTCCATATGTTTTTTCTTTGCAGTGTTTCTTTGCAGATGTTATTTCTTCTTGCATTTCTTTCTATTTCTATACAAACAGATTAATTCTTTTTCCCAAACTGCCCTAAGTATTTTAAGGATGTTATACACGCTCATCAGGTGCTTCTTTATTCTTCACAGGACTGTTGTCGTACATCCCAGGACAGATTTGGATGCCCCCGGGGTGATGTTTCTGAGTAACTGTGCAGGTGGAGCTGTCACTGTGCCTTGCAGCTGTCCATAATTAAACGTACAGAAGGAATATCCTCAGACCTGAAGCTTTGTATCCTTAAATATGACAGACTTAAAGATGTCAGGATTAAAGATGTTTGTTTGGCTAGTCCCACTAATAATGGATACTTCTGAGTTAATTCACCCGTGAAAAGCACATATCTACCAGTATTTTTTGGTGCTCCTTTTCCAGGTGAATACCAAATACACTAGAGAATCATGCTGATGCACCTTACTGCACTATGCACAGACAACAGTACTTTTTCCCAGGAGCTAATTCAGCATAGATGTTGTCACCTAGCTATAATGCAGCATCTAGTTGAGGTACCAGTGACTATATCCCACATCTCCCAAGGGGTTGTCTCATACCCAGTTGGAGCTCTCCCATAAGACAACCATTAATTGTCGCTCACTAATAGTGTGTCTTTTGTTACTGGAGACACTATGAAGTATTTGTCTTGGATAAGAAATCTCAGTTTCTGCTCCAAAGCTGTTCCTGGTTCTCTATGACTTGATCTTACACTCCACCTACCTTTAGACAGCTTTACTGTGAATAGTAGGTCCATGTTTGCTGCCAGTTTTGGCCGAGCAGTCCTGCAGTCATTGTTTAAGTAGAATGAATGCTGAGCTCTAGGATCTGAGTGGTGGCTCAGTGACATGCACAGGATGTAAAAAAGAATTTGGGGTTGGCACTAACTGGATTAGACCAGCTGCCCAAGTGTTCTGTCCCCAGAAGGAGAAACGAGATATTATTTAGGGAGACCATACCAGCCTGGCCACTTTCTGCAGTCCATTCCCCTTGACTTTTCTAGCACTCAGAGCAGCTGTATTAGGTACGTTAGGCAGTGTAGCCCTGCTTAGCCATTTCAGTGTCTGTTTCTGGACTTTCGGTCCATTAAGTTCTCTCTTATTTTTTTGTGATCCTCCAGATGCAGTCGCCCTCCACAGCCTTCTGCATCAGCAAGTTCCAGAAGTTCAGGTGTAGTTGGATGCATGTTGTGCTAAAGTGCAGGAGGGGGGATCATCTGTGCCATATCTTTCTGCTTTCTAATACAAAATGCTGCGGTCTACCACGACAGGGTCTTGACTCACACAGAAAAAAAGTGTTGGGTTATATGTGGACCAGAACCTGAATACATATTGATAAACCATCTCAAAAAGCTACACTAACTGTGAGTAACTAACTGTTCTCTTTAGTCAGTATATGGCTAACCTTGGACATAATGCATCTATAATGATACCTGGTTTCATAGATCATAGTTGTTGAAGTACATTATTATTATGAGAAAGATGTAGTATTCCAATAAAGCAACCTTGTGCTGTCATATCAAGGCAGTATCTACATATTCATTGCAGATGGCATGTTACAGAAATAATCTTTTTCATATTTATTCTTTATGAAATATTGAACCATTGCTGTTCAAGCAAAGTTCAGATCCATACATCTTATGAAGTGAAGGAAACTGTTAGCTAGAACATAGTTGCCCTTAACAGTTTCCCTTTAGCAATTTTTTGTATTGATGGGTTTACCGTTTTGTGGTTAAAGAATTTTTCATGCTGGAATATTTCTAAACCCATTTTCTGATAGAAATCAGAAAAATGGGAGTTTCTTGTACATCACTACTTTGGACAGCTCTATATGGAGAAAAATAAAGGTAGCAGGTATAAATTAAAAGGGGATGAAATAATCTGAGCTGCAAAAAGAAAAGAGCAAGTTTATTTTATTTCCTTGGTTATGTAGGAGTCTTGTTAACCAGTATGTAATGCATAGTCGTGTAATAAAACATGCTAGACATTAAAAGGCAAAAACGCAGTTCACAGATGTTGTAACGTTATGAGATAATTTTAGGGAGTGAATGGGGTGAAAAGGCTGGATTTGTTAGAGAGGAAAATACCTATGGAGGCCTTTTCTGTGAGCAATACCATGACTTCATTACCATGTCAATTCTGGGAAAAGGCTCTGATTTAACACAGCAGTTGGCTGGATCCATATGGAGCTGATGAACCTCTGAATGAATAGTGAATGGAAAAACTGCTGGAATCTGCCTTCAGCTTTGTTCCCAGGATGACCAATGTAAAAGGCCTAAGAGCAATACTGCACAGATGGTGTAAAGAGGTAAGAAATCTGCAGGGTTTAGTTTACTTTTTCTTATCCTACACTGTTTGGGTTTTATTTTTTTAACCATATTTGAGTTCCTCCAACTCCATTTGCTTCAAAGGCTTTACTCACAAAAAGATGTTAAAAAAAAATGTGAAGCTTTGGGAAATGAAATTAATTCAAAAAACATATGTAGCAGTAAGCATTTACATAAAAATACAATTTAAAATGTTGAATTTTGTACGGTATAGAAGTAATTGAAAGCATAATTATGAAATCCTGAAAAAAAAAAAAAAAGCTAGTTAAAAGTTTAACAAAGAACTTTGGAATTACTTCTTCAATTCACCCTATGTTGTGGGAATATGCAGATGTTCACATTTACACAGTCATGTATGTCCACTAGGGTTACATGCTTTTATAGTCTGAAGCATCATCACAAGTGCCAATACAGTAAATCAAAAGACTCTCTGGCATTATCTAGTTTCCTTTCTGGCTTTAAAAGTTAGAACAGATGTCACAAGAGAGGACAAAATGGATTTTACCCACCGAGAGGAGCTTTTCTTGCCATCATTAATAGGAGGCTCCTTGAAATGCTAATGTACACAGTTTGTGTTGCCGGGTTTGCATAGAGATGGTGGGAAACAGCTCTGATCCCAACAAAACCTTTTGTTATTAATCAAGAAAATCTGCTCTTCTGAAACAGCAAAGCACTGAAATGGTGTGGCTACTTGCAATGCAGAGATCTCTATAGCAATCTCCAATGAACAAAAATGTAATAAAAACTGTTCAGCAGTTCTACGAGATACGGCACATGTAGCAATTTATTTGCAGTGATTTTGCATACACCTCCTTTGTCATTTCAGCATGGGTATTTAAGTGGAAAGACTACACCGTTTCTCTATTTTTTCTGAATCTCCACTCTTTAAATTTGTGTTTCATTTCACAGCAAATCTAAAAAGCAAGCTTGAAGCAGAAAGAACTTTGAAAAGCAAGCTTCTCGGAAAAAATCTATCACAGAGCAGAGTTTCTGTTTGATTTGATGTTAATACCATATAAGATATTTTTGCTTTGTTAGAATATAGGATTATGAGATCTTGTGAACCCTTTGTGAGTACAAACATACTCTGCAATATTAGAACTGGTATGCTCCTCCTGTTGTAAAGGGGACTTAATAATTTTCAGTAGTCTTTAAGAGAAGAGGTTCAGACCCTGGTGTTGTTTTGTGACATATGACCTTTATTTTTAAGAAATACCAGTGCAATTAAATCACAAAGTACTAACTGCTGTCAGACATTCATTGTATAGGATGCCTCAGCAGAAGCCTTCTTTCTGAAAAGTATCTGGAGTATGAATTAAAGCCAAAAATTCAAGGAAAGCCTGAATTAAAATGTAAATTCTTTGCTTGCTATTACTCATCACTGAAATCTCTGGCCCAGCCTCTGATCAGAGTTACATTAAATTCCCTATCAATTTATTGTACCACAGTTCCACAACACATTAGTGTGTCTTTTCACAGATTCATTGTGCTGAGACTTCAATATATGGGCACAAGAGAATGAATTAGGGATGAAGCATTAGCTCAGAGTTTAAGCCTCTTTTAATTTCCATGCCTCTGTGGATCTAAAGCAGATACTTAACATTTTGCATTGCCATAGATTATTGCACTTTAATTTGTATTTTGTTTCTTTTTAATGATGATAATAAGCAGATAGTAAAAATAAATAAAAATAACTTGTTATACCAATGCAAGATGTTTGAGATGACCATCACGTAGTTATGGGATAACACAGCATACATAGTAAATTTTAAAAGGGTGAATGTTTATTTGTTCATAGCTTTGTCTGATACAAATTTGGTAAAGCCAAGGAAAGAAATGGGTGGGATAAGAGGGGATGGGGAGCTTATGTGAAAAAAAAAGAGTGAAACATCACTATTCCATCTCTGTGGATCTGTTTCGGTAGTAGGAAGTACTGTAACAGCCAAGCAGGGAAGAAAAAAGCTGTAAGAACAACTTTGAAATCAGAGGTGCCTTTGGAATTGTGAGAGGTCTATAGATGAAATGACCAAGGCTATCTCTAGATGCTTCCTACAAAAGCATTATCTGCTCACTAAGTTTTAATGTGATTTTTCCCAGTATTTATTCTCCTGTCAGTTTTACAGTTAAGCTTTCCATTTCATGTAAGCTGCATTTCAGAGGGGTCCGAAGTGCCTGTATGCCTGTAACCAAAGGGTCGCCACCTCTGCTGCTGAAAACAAGACCTTGCTGCTCCTGTGAGTATGGCCTGATTAACTCGTATGAGGCTGTGCTGAAAATCCCAGTTTGCAAGGAGGGGGTACTGTTCATCCAAAATAACAAGCAACAAAAATCCTACCGAGCGTCCTTAGTGGGACCTGCTAAGGCTTTTGTCAGGGACTAACAACTTTGACCTCACTGTCCAATCCCACAGTGTAGAGGTAAGGATGAAGACTGTTCTTGGGAAAAATCTTGATTAGGAGGGCTGAACTATCCTGTGTCAACAAAATACCCTGAAACCCCTTGTCTTAATAGCACTGATAAAGTCATTGAGCAGAACCATATTTCAGGCGTGTTGTCCTATGTAAGAAAGACTGTTGTCTACCTGTAAAGTTTCAGTGATTTAACAAAAGGAGTTTTTATCAGACATACTATATACTTAAAATTACTTCATAACTTTGCAGAAGCTCAAGTGTATAGATTTCAACCAGGCTGGAAACCTACAGCTTAGCTGGTGTTGCTAAATTATGAGCTATACTGATATTATGCTTGTCTGAAATACATCCATGAAAGGGTTTTCAGATAGTCTGTTTTTAAACCAGTGTAAATTCTTTGTGTGAAGACTTGACCTGAAGATTTTCATCAAGGATTAAATGTTAACTGACTACTTCCCTTACAGACCTTGCCAAATTCTGTTCTTACTTCTTCTGGTCCTGAGTAACTTCACTGCCTTTGACATGGTTATTCTAAATTTGTCTTGGTGTAACAAACCAAAACTTAGCTTTAAGAGTCTTTTGGAGGAGAAATGTCTTTTGTCAATGTGGTTATAGATTTTTGGCTGAGAATCTGGAATGGTTGAGTAGTCCAGTTCAGGTGTGAACCCTTTCCCTATACTGCCTTGTGGAGAAATCTCCTTGTCACAGTCTTTCTATACCTGAAAAATGGTGTGAACTGCTATAAAATCAAATCTCTCCACTTATTCCTTTGGTAACATTTTGCTGTCAGTTTAAGTAGGCAAGGTGCAAGAGATCAAGTCCCATTTCCCACATGGGAATTGCTGTTCCCGGCAGTGAGTGTTTGTAAGATCAAATTCCTTTTTGTGGAGTAAAAATAATACTTTTTAAAGTCAGGCTGAATATGTAAATTATTTTTAGGATAAATCTTCAGTGAGGTTTCTAAACTGAAGCAGGTATTTAGGATATGGGGGCCCTCAGGCTTTAGAGAACTATATATGGGCAAGCAGCAAAAAAGGTCGGTCTTTTTGTATATTTAAATCTGTCTCCAAATTACTTTGAGTCTCGTATTATTTCTGCTTTCTCTGTGTCTTTTTCTCTAAAGTTCCATAGTCAGGTAGCACCCTGCAAACTGCGTTGCATCCAACGCCTAAGATAGCCTTATAAACCCTGCGGACATTAAACTACTGGAAAACAGATTGGGTTGGTAAAAATAAGTGTGCATGTTCTCACAGAACCTGAGAAAATCACACCTTTACTTTGTTAAAAAAAATCTGTTTGTGCCACTCCAGTAATCACTTCATAACTGGTGGGAGAGCAGAACATATGTCTCAGAAGTGGTGGAATATAAAAGCCTCTACCTCTAATCCTATTTTCTTTAAGAGAGAGAGAGAGGAAAAAAAAAAAAGCAATGAAAAATCCCAACCTTTTCAGTATGTCATCTGTAAAATCGGTGCCAAGGGGGTTCTGCTTAAAAATGCTAAGGCATTTTGTGGCGATTTCTGTGAAACTCCTTGGTTAATCCTTCTGCAGTTTTATTAGCAAGCAGAGTCCTGAAGAAGTAAAGCAATGTCAACAAGGGTGTTGTGAATGGCTTTTGTAGCCCTGCCACAGCTAACAAATCCTACGTGCCTGCCCTTCCCCAAGCATTTCTTGGTTAGTTGTTCATGAGGGCTGAAATCACCTCTTTTCAAATTTACCTTTTGGACTCTGCACCAGTGTGGTAAATATTATGTAACAGGATATTGACAGAGGGGTCATTTCCATAGAGAATGGATAGGACCTGAACATTGATCTGCTAGAGAGGGGAGAGAAAAAGAAACACTTATTTTCTTTCAAGGGGGTTGGGTGGTTAAATGGTCAGTAGTGTGAATGCTATAATATGTGACAAGGCTGCTGCTTGAAATAAATGCAGAGAAGAAATCTCAGTCTAAAGCTACAAGCATAAAGAGGAGATGAGGGCAATTTAAAATGTAATCAACAGGACAAATGCATCCTACTTTAACACTGTTGAAATCAGTGTGGTGACAGGTTGTGCCTGGGAGACTTTGGTCCAGTTGTGTCCAAATTAAATGTGAAAATACAGACTAACTGCTGACATTAGACACAGGGCTCTTAGGAAGGTTGCTTTGTCAGGATTCAGTTGCTCTTTCATCTTCCTTACAAACCCTTTCCATCTCTTCCCTTCTCCCATCTTGCTAATCAGTGAGGTCAGAGGACTGGAGATCCCGCCAAGCTTGTAGTAAGCCCCAGGGCTGTTCAGTGATCGGCAGGTTCCTCTGATTGCTGCCTTTTGTTCCCAGCAGTGACCTCATGCTTCTGCTGGTTTTATGGAGGTTAACACCAGGCCGTACATCTCCTCTCAAAGGCAGCACCTCCAATGGTATCATGTCCTTGGCACTGCATGGGTTCAGGTGTGACCTACATAGATAAATGCCACTGAAGGAATGACTTGCCCTGTAAACCACACCACCTGCTTTTTATCTTCTTTCCAGCTCCAGATCTTGTTCATCTCAACCCAAACCATTCTTCGATTCTGTCTCTGATACAGGCCAACAAAGAGTCTAAGTATTAAAAAAGAACTTACCTTTAGAATCACACTCTGCTAAATAAATCTCTTTCAACTGATAGAGGCACATAGCTCTTTGGTACTTCATGTTGCACAGTGAGTGTTAATGGATGTATATTATGTGTAAATGGAAGCATGCACATTACTGTGTGTATTCATCATTTCTAGGGAGCTATTTATTCAGGTAAATAAGATTTTGCTAAGCAGAACTCAGCAATGCTTAACCTTTCTTAATAGAAGTAATACTTGCTGTGGAATGATTTCTTAGAATCAAACTAAAATAGCAGCAAAAAGAGTAGGTAGAACAGATGTTGTCACAAGGATTATAGCATTTACATTCTGCTGATGATTATATATTGTAGATGCCAAATCAGATTGTATTATAAAATTCTAAATTAAGAAAATATTGTACCTAGTTCTGTGTGCCATTATTTTAAAGCAGATCTGGCTGAAAAGTGCTGGCTTTTTTTTTTTTTTTGCTTTAGAATAGCTGTTATACAGCCTTGTGCTCTGATCATTTTAGCTTCTTCTTCTTCACTTTGCCTTTTTTCTTACTCAGAACACAAGAAATAAGTCACCAATTTCTGCGTACCTTGTGTATGAAGAAAACCAATTCCATATTTATCAGAACACCAGACACTCCTTCTTCCACCTCTCCTTCTCAGGTAAATTCTCTTTAGCAATTCATTTCTGTTTCACCTTGAAGGCTTACAGTACCCTGGAAATCCTCATTAAATGCTAGTGAATAACTTAAAGAAAAAAACAGTGCTGTTTGTCTTGCTGTGTCTTTAAATCTAACCTTTATTGTTTAAGTTGCATTTGAGGGGGGGGGAAGTGTCAACTTGTTGAAAGATGAGTGCACTCTATTATGCTGTGCTTAAGGCACTGAGAAAATCCCGTGGAGGGAGTAACACCAGCCAGTGTTCGCAATGCTACATTTTAAATGCATGTTGGAAAAACAATGATAACAAAATCGATTTCCTGCATTTAACATTGCTATAGTTAAGAAAGCATAATTACACCAAATGCCAGGGTTTCTTTTCAACAGCAACCTAGTTGGCCAGTGGTTGTGATGAATCATGTTGTGGCTTGAGAATGGAAATTCACTCCGGCTGTGCATTGATGCTCCCGGGTCCCTGCAGGCATATGGGTCCAAGCACGGACATGTGTGGAAGAGGGGCTTTGGGGGAATGTGGCTACTACTCTTGTCTCACCTCTTCTGTTTTTCCTCTGACTCATGCTGTTGTTTTGAGGTGGATTTCCTCTCTGCTTTCCACCTAGTATATATTCAGGAATTCAAACGTATATATCCTTGTTTTCCTTTGCTTCAGGCTTCCTGGCAAAGGGAGAGATCATTTCAGGCCCAGTACCACAGTTGCATTCTGGGCTACCAGTCAAAGCAAGTCAGGCCTGCAACAGTGGCGGTGGTAGTGGAAAAAGAAGATATTTTGCTAGGGTAAAGGGGAAAATAGAAACAAGAGGATCTCAAATAATGAAAGAAAGCTTAGTGTGTGTGAAAACCTGGCACTTTTCTAAAAGTCATACTGAGTCAACTGGAAACCAAGTTACTATAGTCTAGAGCTATTTGAATGACATTTGTGATGTCAAATAATTTTCTTTCCATTAATTGTTGAATAAATGACTCAGAAACACATTTGCCCCTCTTCGATGAGCTTTATGTATGGCTGAATACTCTTCCCCAAATAAATTATTCATAAATTTTGAGCAATCAGAGAATAATTTATTCAAAATATTTTTTTCATTATCCACTTCTCCATCCCCTGGATTGTGGGTGAAACCCTGACTATGTTAAACTTAGTGAAAACATTCTGAATGATTTGACCAGTGCCAAGGCTTCACCCAATTGAAAGTCTTTTGAGAACTAAGGGTTGCTTTTACTTACAGAACTTTGGTTTAAATATTAGTGCTAAGCTTGACTGTGAATTTGTCGGTGTGTGGAAAAATATGAGCAGGAATTACTTCAGCTCTTATTAAGCTCATTCACTTAAGTTATAATTTGAATCTGGATGTATGAATGCACAGTTAAATTGCTTTTTTTTGAGATTTCCACAACATACGATATTTCCTGTCATCTGAAGTCCCAGTTTATGATGAGTAAAATCCTTCAACAATTGTTAAAGAGGGCCCAGGTCCTGGCTAGTTTCCAGTTTAAAGTATTATTAAAGCTATTCAGGAGTACACCAGTTTTTGCCTTTTTTTTTTTTCCCTTTAAATTGCAGCAACCTTTGGAAGTGTTCAGAGTCTGGGGTGTGTTTAACTCTTCCCTTCATTGACCAGATAAAAATGGTTTGGATATTTCCAGAATTCTAGCAAAAACTGACATTTTTTTAATCAATTTGAGAATTTGTTTGCATTTTACAACCAGTTCTGGTAATTATAATACACCAGCTTTAATTCTCCCTGAAATATGACGTTGAGTCTTCACTTCCTGTCTTAAATTTGCATTGTGTAACTCTATGCAATTAAGGCATGGCTGGCATTATGCCATTGTTCGTGGGTGAAATGAGTCCTATGTAAATACTTTATTTTGTACCGTTAATTGGCAAATGGTATAGAGTGCTTTGGAATCCATCTGGAGAAAAGTTACTGCATATGTGTATGGTCATTATTACTGTGTTATCTCATTTCTTTAAGATACACAACTGCTTTATTGTTTGCTGAGCTCCAGGAGAGTACTTGGTACTATACAGATACACAAGGAGAAAATGCTGCTACCCCATGGAGCCTACAGTAGGCTTGGCTGAGAGAGACAGAAGGTATTGAGCTGTGTGAAATACATGGGTTATATATTCACATTTCTTATTAATGGAGATTTAAAAATATCTCTATAGCATTATGATTAAGATGCTTTGTGGGAGAAATGCACTGCAAGTGAATGGCAAATGAGGAGAAAAGTAACTTGGTGAATAACAAAAGGGAGCAAAGCCTAAATGAGGGGGGTAGAAAGTTGAGAATATGAGGAGGATTCACATGGGGCATTTTAGAGATAGCTTGAAAGGAGGGAGGAGAGGTTGGGAAACTTTGACAGATATGATAGAGAGAGGAAAGGGAGTAGTAAATGAAGATAAGCGGGTACAGAACAAAGCAGAGCAGTGATTTTAGCATTGTGATTTGTATTGGGAAATGTGGGTTGCATAACGGGAAAATGACTGCTGATGCCTGGAGACTGAGAAAAGTTGGAGAGGTGAGGATGAGCTGGTCAAGAATAAAACTGCATAAGGGGCAGTTTCAAATGTCTATGTAATACAGGAGATTGGGTATCTTTTTTTTGAGAAAAGAGAACTTTCTGAGATCAGTTCAGAGGTTAATGCTGTGGTACTGTAGGAACAGGTGATGTGGAATTTCATTGAAAGTGGGAGAGGAGTTGAGATAAAAGGCTGGGTTTGGATGTGGGTAACTGAAAATGTGGCAACCATTTCAGAAGCTGCCAGTTCATTAATTAACGAATTTATTAGTTGGCTCAGTCAGACCTTTCTCTAAAGCTGGAAGATTCAGCCAGGCCTTTTCCTCAGAAGTAAAGTAGGAAAAATCTTTCACTGAAAGTTTTGTATGTAAATTTTTGGATGAAAAATATTTTTTTCCTCTGTTGCTCAAAGATGTTGCTAAAGTTGAAGGCTCTGATCAATAAGACATTGAGGAGTCTGTGTCTTTGCAGGCACGTGGTAAGAAGGCATCTTAAAAGTAAGATACCAAACCAGAGCTTGACAGAACTGAGAGCCATTCCTGTATCGTTAGGTGTCTATTTGGGTCTCATTTTTTCATACTCAGTGGACATAATAGTTTATTTCTGTTCATCATTCTGTTCATTCATCTGTTTAATGGGTTCAGGATATGAGCCCTGAAAGATTTTTGTCTTGGTTTTAGCTTACCTCATCAAGAGGTTGGCAGCTCCAGACTTGATTTAGATCTGAAGCAATTGGAGTAATGCTCTTGAGGTCTCTTTCCATCCTTACCGCCAAGACACGGATCAAAGGGAGACTGTATTCCAACTGGATACCTCGCAGACATGCCCATGTTGCATAGGGTCAGTTCAGATCTTAATATGCCTGTGCAAAGCAAAGCATAAATGGGAATACAGTCATGGAGTGTTTCAGTTCCACAACTTCTCTTTATTGCCTGCATATGGAGTCAGGTGTGGAAGCTCTGGATTACCGGTGATCTGAAGGGGGGATGCTGTTCTCTTGAACTTGCATATTACATTGGTTAGCCATAGCAGGTTGAATATGATCCCACATCAAACAAAAATGATACTGATATAGTATGGTAATCTGAGGATTCAAAGTTAAAAAGAGAGGCTATTGAAATCTTTATCAGATGTTGAGTCTGAAATACCTCTACTTTTCTGTAGAGAGAAGAAGGATTGGCTATGGCAGTTGCATAGTATCAGTTGTCAAACAACCTTTTAGCAGAAACCACTGTATAAAGTCTTTTTCTGATGTGAGGGCCCACATAAGAGACTTTTCATAAATATAGAAAACAACATTAATCTTAGCAGTAAACTGTATCTTGTAAGTGGGCTGTGTAGATTGTTGTGGAAGGCTTAAACAAATAAGAGCTGTTTAAAGTATGCAGTTAAATTCTCTTAATACTACCTTGATTAATGGTAGGTTTTTTATGTATCAGATCATTTTGCACTAATTCAGTACAACACTGTCTGCCTAATAACAATCAATAGTAAATGATTTCCTGCTTAAATATTAATTGAAAATCAGTGATTTCCTGCTCCCAACTGCACTTAGTGTCAATCATTGCACATGGCGCTGCTCAGCACAAGTGATTTGTGTGTTAATTGTTAATCACTTAACATATATATTTATATATATTTATTCATGTCTGGTTTCACCGGGCTAGACTCTGAGACATTACTTATGTTGAATTGTACATGACTGGTCTCAGTCCAAATGAAGATGCCATTCTGCTATAGTAAGCATCTCTGGACCTGGCCCATGACTTACTGGATCAATGATTAGAACAATCCTGAAAGGTTTTTTTTCCTCTTTAGTAGATGAATTAAGTGTATGAAACTCAAATCTACTTTAATGATTTCATTCTGTGCTTGAGGAGTGTCAGGCCTCTTATGGGAAACTGTGACAAAAATGTGACAGAGATGCTGGTGAAAGGAAAGCTTGGAAGTATTTTTCATGACTGCTTTTTCTGGTAATTCTGTGTTATTTTCTTCCAGTCCATTTCTTTATGTGAAAGATAAACCAAAATGGCTGACAAAATCATAGGCACAAGGCATATATGAGGTGGCATTCTGGGCTGGAATGCCATCTTGCAATGCTGTGTAATACATCATCCCTCTTTCCATATGTCTTTGCTTACTAGTGAGGATGAGTAGGTGTTGAAGTAGGAGGCACTACCTGAATCATCTGAGCGAGTAATAAATTGCTTGGGTAGGCAATCAACCATCCTACCTGCAGGTAGACAGGTACCCAGCTTTTGAAGTGCTCAGGTGGCTGTGTGTTGAGAAATGCATTTCTTTTGTCTGGCTTTGTTTTTAATTTCAGAACTCCCTCTTCTAGATGATTATGAGAAGATGTCTTTGTTATTCTCAAGTGAGACAGATGCTTTGGCTTGAGCTAGTAATAGTGCTGTTTGGGGGCTGACAAGCTGGGTGAATTTGCAGTGTGGTTGTATACATCCTCTTCAGTCACCAGTGCTGTGTGTTTAACTTCTCAATATGTTCCATCTGTGGTAGCTAACGTGGGTATGGAATTTATGACTGCAAAGGCTAGAACATACCACAATACAGGAGTGCCTCTTGAGCTGAAATGATGTTTTTAATCAGCACATTAAATGTTGTAGTTGATTGACAGATGGCTTTTTCTATTTTCTGGAATGAATGTAC